ACTCAGCTGCGGAGCCCCTCACGGTGCGCCATAGAGTGGTCGCACTGCACTCGATCACGCGCTGAGCCGCAAGCTGGTGTGTCGCCACAACACCGAGCACAAAAGCAACGAGGCCACACTCGAGTGCATCGAGCTGCTTGCGCGCTATGGCAAGACGACGGTCGACCCCTCGCGCATCGTACGCCCGAATGTCAACTACCAGAGACCCACGGTGGCTCCTACGTAGGCTCAGCCGCTTTCGCACGTACGCGACGATGGCCTCTGCGCCGGCGACTGCGTTGCAACCCACAACGACGTCAGTCTCGCCGAGCTCGCCCAGCTCTACGAGTGGGACCGGCTCGGGGAGATCTTGCGCACGGAAGTGCCAGCGCGCCGCCTCAATGAGCTCGACTCGGCGGGTGAAACCGTGCTGCACCGCATCGCAGACGCCGGCAAGTCGGACATCCTTGAGATGCTGCTGGCGCAGCCGCATCTGGACCTGCGACTGCCGACCGAGGTACGCTGCTGGGAGCGAAGGCTGGTGCTCAGAGGAGATAGTATGGCGAATTCGCGTTGTTGCGGGCGGCCCGGGCCAACCGGGTCAAGTGCGTGCGCATGCTCTTGAACGCCGGCGCCGACCCGCTGGAGCTCATCTCACCCGACCACTTTGACTACGTGGTGCGAATTTGCGTCCTCCACGGTGCGGGCTAAAGTGGTTTTTGCGCAGAACTTTCGCAAAACGCCGCTACGGCTCCTGTCAGACTCAAAGGCTCTGTACCTTCTGCAAGCCAAGCACGAGCTCAAGCAGCAGTACCCACTGTACTACATGGCTCGGGTGCGGGACTGCGCGCAGGCCGCTGTACACCACAAGGCGCGGCAGTCGGCGGTGCACGTAGCCATTTTGGCGCGGCTTTCGACGGAAATCCTCACGGCGATTATCGATCAAAGTCCTCACGACGTCAACGCGCAGGACAAGGTGTGTCATTTCCTGTCCATTCGTTTGGACGAACTAAGCGAATTCCTGCCAGCTCGATGAAACCCCGCTCATGGTGGCGACACAACTGGGCCTCGCCGACCACGTTGCCGTGCTTTTGGCCCATCATGCTGACGTCGACACGGTCAACCACGTCTGTCCTTCACCGGTGCAGAACCTGGCGGCTCACACCGAACGTAGCGCAAAGAGTCAGCGCTCATGATGGCGGCCAACGGCGGCCACGTCAAGATCGTCGCCATGCTGCTCGAGCACTTGGCTGACGTCGATCTCCGGGACGCAGTACGCATGTTCTAACGTCGCGCGGCCTCACCGAGCGATAGGCTGGTCAAACCGTGCTTGAGACCCTCGAGGCTTCGATCCACGCCACCCTCGGCGACCTGAGCCTACAAGAGCGCATGCAGGCCCCGCAGGTCAAGATCCGCGAAGCCATCCGCTCGGAGGTCCGCGAGCGGCAGACGTCCGTCGAGTACCGCGCCAAGTTGGCCAAGTCGCTCGCTGACGTGGACGTTGAGACGGCGTTCGTGCGCAACGGCTTCTCCAAGGCGATCAACTGCTCGCCGGCGCTCGGGGTTACCTTTCTCAACGACTGTGTCACGCTTGATCGACACGACGTGCACTTCCGCCATTTAGCGCTCGTCTACGGTGCCGACGTGGCGACAAGCCCGCTTCATGCGCTGCTCAACATGAACACGGACGACCCGGACCTGCTCTTCGAAGCCAAGACCAAGTGCTTCGAGCACGTCGTCATGAGGCGCGTACTTGAGATCAAGTGGGAGCTCTTTGGCATGCGCAAGTACTTTGAGATGCTGCTCATGAACGTACTGCTGCTTGTGGCCATGACCATCTCGGCGGTGCTTTTCCACGCCGGCGACACGCCACCGCCGCCCATGACGGCCACCAGCTTCCCGCTGCTCGTCGGTGTTCTTACCTTCGCCTTCGTGGCCGTCGGCTACGCCGGCGTTCAAGCGCTGCGGCCCCGCGTGCTCTGGCGCCTCGCGCGGTTTCAGTACGACGGCAGCTCGGTGTTCGATCCATCGCTTGTGATCCCGAACCTCGAACGATACAAGACAACGGCCAAGCGCCGCATCAAGGTGGCTGTGTTGCTGGGGACTTTTGTGCTTGCAGCTGCAGTCGTCGGCGTCCTGCAAGTGACCAGCGCGACGGCTGCTTTCCCCGCTCTCAACAACCTCGTGCTCGCAGGGTGCGCGGTGTACTTTCTCGTGAATGAGTGGCAGGAAGCTCGCGGCGGTCTCGGGGTCTACCTGGCATCGCCCATCAACCTCATTCAAGTGACGATGTACACCCTAATCCTTGTGGCCTTTTTACCGATGCAACTGGACTACCTCGCGGTGCCGGACCAAGTGGAGATCGCGGTGGGCGGGCTCATTACGCTCACGCTGTGGGTGCTGTCGTTGCAGTTTCTCGAAGTCGAGGAGACAGCGAGCTACCTTCTACCGATGCTCACGGGGCTGCTCAAGGACCTGTGGAACTTCTTCCTCTTCTTTGGGGTGTTCCAGATCGGCATCACCGTCACGTTTTACCAGCTCTACAAGACCACGGGCGATGACGGCTTCAATTCGCTTAGTGGGTCGTTCCTGACGTCGTACTTCGTCGCGTTTGGCCAAGTACCGATGGACTCGATGAAGGCGTTTGCAGCCGACGATGACGGCGACGTCGTTGGCTACGACTGGCTGCTGTACCTCTTTGCCGTGGCTATGATCATGGCACACTCGGCTCTCGTGGTGTTCTTCCTCCTCAACCTGCTTGTCGCCAACATGAACAAGACAGTGGACGGCGGCCTCGAGAAGGCCAAGACTGAGGCCCTTGCAGCCTATGCGCAGTGCATTCTCCGCCTTGAAGAAGCCATGAACTACACGCCCCAGGAAACCGAGGCGCTCATGTACTTTGAGCCACCCAGCGCCACGTTTGCGGGTGTGCTCAACCCGATCTTTGAGTACGCCATGCCCAAGGCACACTACGGCATCACGAGCGACGTCGAGGATGCGATCGCTGAGCACCAGAAGCAGCAGGCCTCGTGGGAGGCGGCCGTCATCGCCATCGAAAGCCGCGTCGGTGCCGCCTTTCGCGGCTTTCAGCGTGGCTTCGAAGATGTCGCCCACTTCACGGAGCTACCGGTCGCAGCTGCATTTGCCCACGACCTCGGCGTCATGGCGGCCGCTGGAGTCAAGCTCGGCCGCCTCTTCGACGAGATGCGCGCCAGCCGTGGTCAACAGGACCGCGTCGACCTCCTTGACCGCTTCCAGAAGCGGGTCAGCCAGCAGATGGCCACCCTCGATAAGCAGCTCCACCAGATCTGGGTCGGTTCCGAGAATGACCACGCACGCTGCACGCTCATCTACGAGATGGCGCATCGCGCTACAATGGGTCAGGAGCTTGCGGCCCTGCAGCGCCATGTGATCGCTGTCTTCGACGAGGCCAAGGTGACCATCGACGCTGAAAATGCGCCGGCGGCCAAGGAGGCAGACGCAGCCGCCGCGCGCATCGCTGGCCTCGAGGCGAAGATTGAGGAGCTGCGGGCGCTATGTGCGACGCAGAATGACCAAGTTATGGCCTCCATGGCGGCACAGTTCCAATCGCTCCTCACGGCCGTCCAAGCCCCGCGCGAGTAGCTCCTCGACTCGTACGTCTAATGCATTGCGTGTTGTGCAGCGATGGATGCCAACATTCCTGGTTCCAACGGTGCTAGGGCGTTCAATCGACGGAGCGCGAGGAGGCATGCAAAACTTCGCATATAAATAGGATGAGAAGAGATAGCTACAGGTGGACACTCAATGCAGTGGATAGTCTTCAAGGACGAAGGGCGCCGCGTCGGGCGTGGCCAGCAGCCCCTCCCAGACCATTTTATCGTCTAGGAACGCAGCCATGTCATCGAGAGAGCACTCGGGAGCGGGGTTGTTCTCGGTGGCAAGGTCGCCGAGGTCCCATGCCGCGTCGTCGAGCTGGAAGACGTCCCAGAGGTCCTGCGACGCCGGTGGTAGCTTGAGCGGGTGGTAGGCAATCTCGACGAGCTTGGGCTCCTCGAAGGTGAAGACTTCGGGTGTTGCGGTGGCCGTCCGCGCCGGGCTGCGGTGCTGAGGGCTCACGTCGCTATTGGACGGCGACGCCCGCGGTGACTTGCGTACAACGTGCACGAGCAGCTCGGGTTGCGTGCGGAGGAAGCTTGGGTGGCTGAAGGTGCAAACGTTCGACTGCGTCTTGGTCCACTTGCGGAAGCCAAAGTTGTTGAGCTGTCGCTGGAAGCTCGAGGCTTTTTCGTGGTTAAAGTACTTGCGCAGCACCTCCTGTTCAAGGCGGCGCTCCGACAGGATCTGGATCGCTGTGCCGTCGTGGCTCCAAGCGATGACGCTAGGATCCTCCGTGTCGAGCATGCGGTAGAGCGAGCGAAGGAACTTGGGGATCCCCGTGATGCGCTTGCGCTTGAGGTCGTCGGTCATCGGCATGAGAAGTTGCAGAATGGCCAGCCTAACGCCCTTCTCCGCCGCCATTCCCCGCACCTTCTTTTACCTGCGCCCCGTATGCCATACTCGCCAGCCCTCCGCCGTGACAACCGCGGCTCCGCGTGCCACGTCATCGAGAACGCGCGCTGATTGGCTGGCGCCGATCTTGAAACGGCGCGACCTTTGACACACGGCAAAACTGCTCCATTTTCGAGAGCTTTGCGCAGCTTTCGAAAATCGCGCCAATGCGGCGAGTGCGGGACGACGATGGGCCTGGCCGATGGAGGTCTAGCGACAGGGCATGGCGCTGCAGGCAGCAACGTCAAGGTTGCACATCACTCAGTCATGTTTATGCTGAGAAATAGCATGGTTTTGCCACATAAGAGACAACCAACTGGTCGCGAGAATGTTCGTCGTCGAGACACTTCGAGAAGCCAGCAACGTGGCTGTTCCGTCACGAATTCAAGCGCAGTGCAGTCATGTTGTCAGCACTTGCCGCAGTGCCTTCACCCGTTGGACATGCGTGTGCTTGGCGCCAGGGGATTCCAAATAGCATCTTTATAAATCATCTACAAGTTCATGCTGGCAAGGTAGGCACTCCAGCCGTCCGTGGCCATCTTGTCGATCTTGCCGTTCACCTCAGCTTCTTGCGCCTCAAGGAACGCCTGCATTTTGGTCAAGTTGGCCTCACCGCCCACCATACGCACGGCCAACAAGCCAGCGTTCATGGCATTGCCGATGGCCACCGTGGCGACCGGGATACCCCGGGGCATCTGCACGATCGACAGCAGCGAGTCCATACCACTGAGTGCCTTGGTCTGGATCGGCACGCCGATGACGGGAAGCGGCGTCAGAGCGGCGACCATGCCGGGCAAGTGGGCAGCACCTCCAGCGCCCGCGATAAGCACCTGGATGCCACGCCCCCGAGCTGCCTGTGCGTAGCGGTACATTCGCTCCGGCGTGCGGTGGGCCGAGACGATGCTTAACTCGTACGGCACGTCAAACTGATCGAGCACCTTGGCGGCGGCGGCCATCGTGGGCAGGTCCGAGTCAGAGCCCATGATGATACCGACGACCGGGGGCTTGGCCACAGCGGGCTTGGCGGCGGGGCATAGAGTCTCCGCGCGATCCAGCAGCGCCGCCAACGTCGGTGCCACGACTGTGATGTGGCCCACCTTGCGACCAGGCCGGATGGCCGCCTTGCCGTACCAGTGCACACTTGCACCCGGAACAGTCGCCGCGTGCGCGAGGAGGTCCGTGGTGACCTTGGGGTCCTCGGTGCCGAGCACATTAAGCATCCAGCTGGCGCCGACCTTGAGCGCGCAGCTGCCGAGGGGAATCCCAGCGACGGCGCGAATGTGGTTCTCAAACTGGTCCGTTTCGCACGCTTCGATGGTGTAGTGGCCCGAGTTGTGCGGGCGCGGGGCAATTTCGTTGAGCAAGAGCGTGTTGTCAGTGGTGAGGAACATTTCGACGCCAAAGATGCCGTTGCCCGAGAGCGCGGCGACCACCTTGGTAGCCATGGCCGTCGCGGCGTCGTGAAGCGCCGCCGTTGGCAACGCGGCCGGGGCGAGAACCGTATGACAGATGTTGTCCTGCTGGGTCGTTTCGACAACAGGGTACGCCCGCACGTCCGAGCCTTGACGTACGACCATGACTGCCAGTTCCTTCGCGAACGGGACCCACTTCTCTGCGTAGAGCTTACCCGGGGCGAACGTTGGCGCGAGCGTCGCGATGGCCGCGGCGATGCCGGCCTCGTTTGCCACGACAGCGTTGCCTTTGCCGTCGTACGACCAGTGGCGTGACTTGAGCATAAAGGGGTAGCCGAACCGCGCGCCGGCAGCAACGGCGTCCGCGACGGAGTCAATGACTGTGAAGGGACCAAGAGGCACGTCGACGTCTCGACAGAACTGCTTCTGCGCGAACTTGTCCTGGATGAGAGCAATTGTGTCCGGGCTCGGGTGGATCTGCAGTTTCGGGTGCGACGTTTGCAGCGCGCGTAGCGTCGCCGCATTTACATGCTCGATCTCGACCGTGAGCACGTCGACATCAGCGGCGAGGCGCTCGATCGCCGCCGCGTCCGTGAAGGAGCCGGCAACGGCCGACGTGACCTGACCCGCCGGGGACTCCTCGCCCTGCGGATCGAGGCACACAAGCCGCACGCCCAGGCGATGGGCTGCGTAGCCCATCATGCGGCCAAGCTGGCCACCGCCAAGGCAACCGACGACGGGGGTGGACGGAAGGCTCATGAGTTGCGGGTCCGAATGCAAAATGGCTGCGATGTGGCCGAGGATCATGCAACAAGCATCCTCCGGCGATCGATGTGCAAAAAATACCATATTTTTATTTAAAGTTCAATGCATTTTTTTGCTATCACAATACAAACTCAGATATCAAATCAAGAGTATGATATTTTAATACGCTATATTAATATTGCGTTTCATGAAAGATCGGTTTTGTTGGATTATGATACAAAGTGTATAAAACATATTTGAAACACATTTTGGGAACTCGTGTAAAACCTGTTTGTTTGCCAAATCATACATACAAATATGAAGTATAGGTGATGCCTAAATCTGTTTTATTCATGGTGACTTCTGGAGTCGGCACCAACCATAAGATCGGACTGTGATTGGCTATTAAGTCATGAAAAATAGAACCAATCGGAGCTCGAGACAAGCATCCTTTTAGACCAATCCCGTTGACCCTTCGGGCAGAACCGATTTCCGTCGCGAACGATGCTTGAGCTCCAGGCTGCCCTCGACGACTTCACCAGCCGCGACGAGAACTACCTCAAGGCCATGGAACGGCTACGTGCGCAGTACGTGGTCGTGACGCCTGGCCAGGTCATCACAAGCGAGCCGGGTTTCCTTCGTGGCCACGGCACTTATGTCGAGAACGGCGAGCTCCTTGCCAGCGTAGCTGGCGTTGTGGAGAAGGTCAACCAGCTTGTGAGTGTGCGTCCTCTTGTCAGCCGGTACATTGGTGAAGTGGGCGACATTGTCGTTGGTCGCATCTCGGAAGTCGGCAGCAAGCGCTGGAAGGTGGACATTAACGGCCAGCAAGATGCCGTGCTCATGCTGTCGTCAGTGAACTTGCCCGGCGGTGCCCAGCGGCGGCGCACGTACGAGGACCAGCTCCAGATGCGCTCATTCTTTGAGGAGAGCGAACTCATCAGCGCCGAGGTGCAGGAGGTCCGCTACGACGGCACCATGTGGCTGCATACTCGTTCGTTGCGGTACGGCAAGCTCGAGAACGGCCAGCTTATCACGGTCCAGCCGTCGCTCGTCAAACGTCTGAAGCAGCACATGCTGCAGCTGCCCATCGGTATCGATGTGATCCTCGGCTGCAACGGGTACATTTGGGTCTCCCGCAGCATCGAGCACGACGCCGAGAGCCTTACGACCAACGAGTCGCGCGCCGACGTTTGGACGGAGCGCAAGGCGACGCACGCTGCCACGGTCACGAGCGCGGAAGACCGCAAAAAGATTGCCAAAGTCACCAATGCCATCGCGCAGCTCAACACGCGCTTCCAAACGATCACGCCTGAGAGCATCATGGCGCTCTACAACGACGAAGACGAGACGATGGAGTAGTAATAAATGCATTTCGATTGTACGATCTTGTGAGCGCTGTCGCCGTTGCCGAACGGTAGCAGCCGCCATAACCAGTTTTCCCTCTTGTAGTCCGGTTTGAAGTGCACCAAGCGGCCAAGATCATCAAGCAGCCAGGATGCATCACGTACTCTGGTAGGGGCAGCGCCATCGATTGACCATGCAGCCACCTGAACCATTCGTCGCCATGCTGTCCATGCAACGAATGGCGCCTTTGTTCGTACACTCATACCGGTAGCGGCGACAGTCCGGGGAGTGGTTTCCTCGGCCGCACAGGGGACGGAGCATACCTTCAGCAAGGAGATGGATTCACATGGAGGCTGCCAAGCCAAAAGCTCCATTTGCTCACTGCCCATGCTGCAGGGTGCCAAATCCGTGGACACGTTCTCGTAAAGCACGAACCTAACCCCCGGCTAGTTAGCTTCGCCCGTGGCAGCTGGGGTGCTGGCGCGTCCTTAGAACAAAAGTGTCATGCAGATGGCTTTAAAGCAAGTTGTCCTTGTACACAGCAAGTCAACGCCTCTGAGCGAACGCTTTTGCATCCCTTGGATCCACGCGGATGGCGCATAAGCAAGTTTACTCTACGAAGAGCCGCGGAGCTGAGCCACAGGCAACTCACGACAGTATAGCAGGAGGTGCGGACAAACTACTCTATCGCTAAAGCGTGGGAAGTTGCGATGACCTGTGTACTCGACTACGTATCAAACAACTGCTCCAGAACACAGACACCAAGCCGCGATGCACGGAGCGCTTTTTGGTGTCCATTTCGCTTCTCCATAAAGCGCACACGATCACATTTGGACGTCGCCACCGTGCAGTTCAAATTTCCATGTGATCACGGCCCGACGCAGTGTCACGAGAGCGTATTACGTTAACGGGTGCTTGGCGAGCTCCGGAAATTGCGTAAAATTCCAGCGCATGAGATGATGATCAATGACCAAGCCCATGGTAAACACGTCGTATCTCCGGCTTTCTTGCGTATTTCGCCGCACCCAGCACGCTTGAGCGCTGCGGCGCAGGCAGCCCGCCCTCTCGGCCGCGGCTCGAGCCGTGGCACGTGAAATGGGTGCGTCCTTGGACGAGGATTTTCCACTGGATTTTCGCATTTTGGGGGAAATTCCGACCCAGATGGCATGCTTGGAGTGCATGTCATCGCCACTTTGCAAAACAACGACACAAGAGCATGCCAAGCGTCCACGGTCTTACGAACGTATCGGCGCTGATGGTGGCCGCGGCGTCGGCGCCGCTCGGTGCAGTGCAGGATCTGTTGGCCACGACTTCGCCCGTCGACCTCGATGCGGCGTCCCCGGTGCGCTGGCGATGGCAGCGACTGACAACGACCGAAATGGCTTCGTAGGAGGGCTTGACGGCATTGTCGTTTGCTGTACTGCAGGGTCGCCTCGAGGTTGTGCAGGCGTTGCTCGCCGCCGGGGCCAGCCCGAACGCTAACCCGCGCTCGGTTGACGGCCGCCTCTACTCGGTACGTCGTATCCTTTGCGATCCGGCGACACGACGGAATCTTGCAGACACCTTTGGAGCAGGCCGTGGCGTTGGGCGATGTGGCCATTACCAAAGCGCTTCTGGAGTACGGCGCCGACCCCGCGGCCGTCTGCTTGGCGTCGTGCCTTGACGAAGGAAACGCGCCCATGACAACGCCGTTGCACACCGCAGTAAACCTTCGTTGCCTGCCGGCGCTTGTCCACGGCGGCCACGTCACAGACAAGGTGTGCCTCCTGGAAACGTGGTCGTCTCACGCCAATGCGCTCAGGCCCGCGCGCCCAGCACCGAGAGTCCCGCGGACTTGCTTCGGCTCCTGCTGGCATCTGGCGCTGATCCCAATGCCGCCAACGGCGTACGCTGGCTCGCGATTCGTGGCCGATGCTTAAGCTCGGCTGCTTAGGACGGCGACACGGTTCTCTTACGGGCCGTCGCCGTGCAAAACGTCGCCGCCGTCGACCTTCTCGTTGCCCATGCGGCCAGTGGCCGCGTCAACGCCCTGGTACAATACCCACACTGTCCTTTGGGCTGGAACCAACGTCGGGTAGAATGGCAACACGGTACTCCACATAGCAGCACAGGCGGGCCACAGCCGCCGATCGCGGCTGCTTGCGACAGTTCTCCAGCTCGGCCACGTTAACGTTCGTAACCACGTCCGCGCCGCCTCCATTCAATGGCGCTCATCGTCGCCACAGGCCGGGGAGACTCCACTCCTGTTTGCGCTCAAGACAGCCTCCCACGAGCAGGATCTCTTCGAGACTGTCAGCTCTCTCCTAGCCGCGGGCGCCAACGTCAATGCGGCCGACACGGTCGTCATCGAAGCCGACGGAGGGTGCTCACCTCGGAAGATAGAATGGAGGAACACCGTTCATCGTGGCAT